AAAAAAAAAAAAGAAAAAAAAAAAAGAAAAAATTAAAAAAATCCAGTCAGAACCGAAGAAGCTTCTTGGATGAGAAGCAAAACGTCTTCAAGGAACAAAGTCCAGTTGTCTTTTGAAGAAACACCTTGAGGACAACCATGACCTGGATGACGGAGCATCTCCAAAGACATGTAGTTACAAAGAGACTCACCAGAGGAAAGATTGCCCAGAATCTCTTACACATTCAACAAGAGCTTGGTTTCATCCCTTACCCTGCTGGAGGGATGCTTGGATAAAGGTGCACCATGTCCTGGACGATAGATGGGTGGGGAGAAGAAGACTGCCGATGGAGAGACTCTTCTAGACTTTGCCGCAACCGAGAGACTTCGTGTTTCAAAGCTTCAATGGCTTCGCTGGCGGAGGAATGACACAAACACGGGAACATCAGGTTGACTTTGACAACTGCTACTAAGCGTGTGTTGAAATCATACCAATGTTATCCAAGGCAAAAAGGGCGGACGTGGGTTTTACGCTCTTCTCTCCCTCTTCCCGTGCTGGAGGGATGGGGTGTGTGTGTGTGTAAAATTACAGGTAAAAAAAAAAATGTTTCGACTTACTCTCGTTCCAAGCGTGTGTGAAGAAAGTTCTTGTGGCGAGCCTGGGCCAGGTTCGGAGAAATTGGGGAGGAACTGGGGATATCTCTCCCACGAGGAGGGGGGCTACCATCCAGACTGGTAGCACCGTGGCTCTCGGTTTCTGTCTCGGAGTCAGGGTGAACTGGCACGCAAGAGAGAGAACAAGCTATCACGAATTTGCCTTTAAGGATGGAACTCTGGTAAGCCTTCAAAACAGATACATCAAGATCTGTTTTTTCTTAAACACGGTATGGAGACCACTGGCTCGAAGTCCCGTGGGATGGGTCCACGCTTAAAAAAAGGAGGAGGCTATCTCGATTTATCCCTTGTATTTTCTTTCCACTTTCCAATTTAGTTCCAATCCCAATCACAGAAAAATTAAACTTATGGGGGGGGGACTAACACACTATTTTTAACAGAATAATAAAGTGGGGAGGGACTTTGGAGGTCTTCTAGCCCAACCCCCTGCTCAAGCAGGAAACCCTAGACNAAGTCCAGTCAGAACTGAAGAAGCTTCTTGGATGAGAAGCGAAAAGTCTTCAAGGAAAAAAAAAAAGAAAGTCCAGTCAGAACTGAAGAAGCTTCTTGAATGAGAAGCGAAAAGTCTTCAAGGAAAAACAAAGAAAGTCCAGTCAGAACCGAAGAAGCTTCTTGGATGAGAAGCGAAACATCTTCAAGGAAAAACAAAGGGAGTCCAGTCAGAATCGAAGAAGCTTCTTGGATGAGAAGCGAAAAGTCTTCAAGGAAAAACAAAGAAAGTCCAGTCAGAACTGAAGAAGCTTCTTGAATGAGAAGCGAAAAGTCTTCAAGGAAAAACAAAGGAAGGCCAGTCAGAACTGAAGAAGATTCTTGAATGAGAAGCGAAGTCTTCAAGAAAAAATTAAAAAAATCCAGTCAGAACCGAAGAAGCTTCTTGGATGAGAAGCAAAATGTCTTCAAGGAACAAAGTCCAGTTGTCTTTTGAAGAAACACCTTGAGGACAACCATGACCTGGATGACGGAGCATCTCCAAAGACATGTAGTTACAAAGAGACTCACCAGAGGAAAAATTGCCCAGAATCTCTTACACATTCACCAAGAGCTTGGTTTCATCCCTTACCCTCCTGGAGGGATGCTTGGATAAAGGTGCACCAGGTCCTGGCCGATAGATGGGTGGGGAGAAGAAGACTGCCGATGGAGAGACTCTTCTAGACTTTGTCGCAACCGAGAGACTTCATGTTTCAAAGCTTCAATGGCTTCACTGGCGGAGGAATAACACAAACACGGGAACATCAGGTTGACTTTGACAACTGCTACTAAGCGTGTGTTGAAATCATACCAATGTTATCCAAGGCAAAAAGGGCGGACGTGGGTTTTACGCTCTTCTCTCCCTCTTCCCGTGCTGGAGGGATGGGTGTGTGTGTGTGTAAAATTACAGGTAAAAAAAAAAATGTTTCGACTTACTCTCGTTCCAAGCGTGTGTGAAGAAAGTTCTTGTGGCGAGCCTGGGCCAGGTTCGGAGAAATTGGGGAGGAACTGGGGATATCTCTCCCACGAGGAGGGGGGCTACCATCCAGACTGGTAGCACCGTGGCTCTCGGTTTCTGTCTCGGAGTCAGGGTGAACTGGCAAGCAAGAGAGAGAACAAGCTATCACGAATCTGCCTTTAAGGATGGAACTCTGGTAAGCCTTCAAAATAGATACATCAAGATCTGTTTTTCTTAAACACGGTATGGAGACCACTGGCTCGAAGTCCCGTGGGATGGGTCCATGCTTAAAAAAAGGAGGAGGCTATCTCGATTTATCCCTTGTATTTTCTTTCCACTTTCCAATTTAGTTCCAATCCCAATCACAGAAAAATTAAACTTATGGGGGGGGGACTAACACACTATTTTTAACAGAATAATAAAGTGGGGAGGGACTTTGGAGGTCTTCTAGCCCAACCCCCTGCTCAAGCAGGAAACCCTAGAC